GCTGTAAAAACAGAACAATACCATACGCTTCACAAGACTGTTGTAAGACAAAGCAGTATAAACATGCCAGGAACACGCAGTCTGCTATTCACGCTGTCTGTTCTAATTCCATGTTCTTAACAATAAGCCTAACGACAACTACACGAGCTTCATGTTTATTTTGTAAGCATGTAATAATTATACAAGCAACATGAAGAGAGGTCTGATGAAATGATTGCTATATAGTAATAAAGCCTGAGCCATTACAGAAAACCCGACATTCCTATATGCTTATGAAAGGTAATTATTAAGCCTTCCCTCTAAGAAAATACAGACACTATCAGCTTTATGTTACAAAAAAAGGGAAAATATTTTCTTACTGCAGTGTTGGGGGCGGAGTACCTAGCACCCTTGCTAGGCAAGGCCCCAGTCACCGAGTTGCACTGTAGCCTAAAACTGCTGCCTATACTATCACAAAAGCAGTACACTGAAAAGCAGCGTCTGCTCCTTAACAGTAACTTAATTTTATGTTCATTTAGTCAGGATTTTCAGTTAGATATAGATGTAAAATGAATGTCAGTGTTCATTTCAGGTTAGGTTCAACGATGAAACACCAGTTACAGTTCCTTCTCTAAAGGTCTCAGATCAGCCACTGACCACAAATTATATTGGTACCATGAAAAAGACCTGCTCAGGGGACCACTGAGTCAGAGAACCACTCACCCATAGAGTGTGCAGGGAGCCGGAAGACCCAGGCTCTTACCCCAGCTGAGGACTATCACTGGACCGTTTCTCTGAGGTCCTTGGTAAAGATGGGACAGCATGGAGACCATTGTTGTGTCCTGAGCTGCTGCTGGACAGCCTCCATATTCACGCTACAGCATCACGGCTGAGAGACAGAGACAGGGCCCACAGTGCGGGTAGTCTCAGATAACCTTCACCCAAGAGTGCAGTCTCACACACCACTCCCAAGTCCCAGTCCATGACAGAGCAATTCACTAAAATGTCAGAATTTAAAAACAAAAAAAATCTGAAACTACACTTTGAAAGGTTAAACAGTTTTGCTTGGGGCTGAGGATGTAGCTCAACTGGAAGGGTGCTTGCCTAGTATGCATTCAGCCTTGGGTTCCATCCTGTGCTGGCTAGTTTTTATGTCAACTTGACACAAGCTAGTGTCCTCTGAGAGAAAAGAACCTCAACTGAGAAAATACCTCTATAACACTGGGCTGGCAAGCCTGAAGGGCATTTTTTTAATTAGTACTTGACATGGAAGGGCCTAGCCCATTGGGAGAGTGCCACCCGAGGCTGGTAGTCCTGAGTTCTATTAGAAAGCAGGCTTAGCAAGCCAGTAAGCAGCATTCCTGCAAGGCCTCTGCATCAGCTCCCATCACTAGGATCTTGCCCTGTTTGAGTTTCTACCCAGACCACCTTCAATGAGATTTATATAAGAGTAAGCAAAATAAAACTTTTCCTCCCCAAGTTGCTTTTGGAATTGGTGTTTCACCCCAGTAAGGGAAACCCTAGGACACACCCAAAGCATTACCTAAACTGGACAGTTGTGGTACACTCCAGTATTTCAGAGATGGAGGGTCAGAGGTTCAAGGTTATCCTTAACTACACAGTGAGTTTCAAGGACATTTTAAAAATTTGTTTTACCTTATACATTTTGGCAATGAGATCAATGATTGAAGCCTGGGACACACCAGTGTCATCTGTGGTGTCCAGAAGTGCTGATGGCAGCCCCAATAGACCCTGGCTGGACACTGGGGCAGAACAAATGAGACTGGCAGTCTGGAAGTACACCCCACTGGAAACCTTGTATCAAAGGCTGGTAATTAATGCATTGTAAAATGAAGCAGAGAAGCAGGCCTTTTAGACCAGCATTTGGGAGGCAAGGGGCAGGTCTAGCTGTGAGTTGAGACCAGCCCCCGCCCCCCAAAGGTTCTCTCTACATAACTCTGGCTGTCCTGGAACTGTGTAGAGCAGGCTGATCTTTAACTCAGAGATGGGCCTGCCTTTGTCTCCCAAGTGCTGGAACTAAAAGGGTGCACCATCACACCTTTTAATAGAGTTCTAAGCCAGCTAGAACGTAGTGAGATCCTGTTTCTAAATAAAAGCACTACAAATTCAAATGTGGATGGTAACAGAAACTACCAAGTAAGCTCATAACCAATATAATCCTCCTTAGGAGGCGCCATTTTCTATGTGACCCTAAAATGTATTAAAATGTTACAAAGCCTTGCAGTAGCTAGCAAACTCGCTACTTGCTAACAATGTATCTGTGCAGATGTGTACATGTGCTATTTTCAAGAGAAAAGTTGTTATAATTTACCCAAAAAGCTACTTTACTGCAAATGTGGCCACTCCACCAACTAGTAGCTTCAAAATGGCTGCTAGGAGCCCTGGTTTTGCTTACTGTGCATACATTATTAGTTTGGTTACTTAATGTGGATTCCATCCAGTTCCTGTATTGAAGTGGCAGTTTAAGAATGGTGCATTTGCAGAGTGGTGGTGGCACTCAGGAGGCAGAAGCAGGCAGATCTCTGTGAGTTTGAGGCATGCCTACTCTCCTGAGCTAGTGCCAGGACAATCTCCAAAGCTACACAGAGAAACCTTGTCTTGAAAAACCGAAAAAAAAAGGTGCATTTACAGAGCCAGAATATTAACTGAAGAAAATGAAAACCATAAGCCAAGATAGGTGCATTCATTACGGTTTATTTGTAAACCTTGTACAATTGTAATGTTCCTCCCCAAAGCTCATTTAATGTGAATTTTTTACACTATATCTCTAAGTATTATTTAGCATTACAAACTTAAATTCTTGGAAAGGCATATACCAGAGCGCTCCATATTTACAAAGATTTGTATATACTTATATGTGGGCTACCTCAGGCATGTCACTGAGCTCTCTGGTTCACATGTCCTATAAACGAGAAAAACTTCCTTGCCATTTCATCAGATCCCGTGGAGGCTCCTTCTAAAGCTCCAGGGTCTGTAGGGCAGAGATACACCCCCACTTTTCTAGGTGAGTGGAGAACAGGGAAGTGCGTTTAAAACACACGACACCAAATAGAAATTCAACTAAGATTACGGCCAGAATACTCAGAGCTGGAGTCACCCTGATGAAAGCCCGTCCAACGCAACATTTGGTTAACCTATTATCTTGAGGCTTTTATTTCTAATGAGCAAGAAGGGGGAAGGGTGATCAGCTGATATCATATCTACGGTCTACACACAAGCGGGAATGGCTGAACATTTGCGGGCAGGCACTGAGGACCACCGGCACCTTCCCAAGCCCAATCAAAACTAACTTGGGAACTATAACCCAGAAGTTGTGAGATCAAGGGGCCAGAGGCTTTCCGGAAAGCACTCAGTGCGTGCCCAGGAGGCGAAGGGGAGGGGCGCGGGACCCCTCCTCAAGGTCGCGTGCCAAGGTTGAGTAGCTATTTTAAAAACCGGGCCCGGGGAGTCAGCACACTTGCCTGGTCCCGCCAGAAGCTGGAGCATCCCGGGAGCTTTAAAACACAGAATATCCCGTCCACCCGAAGCCGGTACCGGGAGCTCGGTGCCCTCCCCTGAAACTGCCCGCTCGCCACCTCTCGGCTCGGCGCCAGCCGCGGGCCGTTTCTTCAGTCGGCGAACGGGGCCTGCGGGAGCCGCCGCACCTGCCCGGCCCAGGCCCGCGGCCCTCAGCTCCGGCGGTAGCCGCGGCGTTCCGGTGCACGCGCGCGCTCAGCCAATCGCGTGCTCGCCCGCCCCCCGCCGCCGCGGTGAGGCTGGCGCCGGGAAGAGGAAGAGGAACATTCGCCCTCCTCCTCCCAGCGCGCGGGCGGCGGCGGCAGCGGCACCGGGGTCACGAACTCTGACCTTTCACTGACAAAAACAATAACAAAGCGCGGTCCCTCCGCGACCCCGGCGGCGCCAGGGCCCGGCCCGCCGCCCCGCTCCGCACCGACCCGCCGCGGAGTCCCGGCCGCCCGAGCCCCCCCAGGCTCCTGCCCTCCGGCGCCCGCCCGGCTCCGCGTCTTGCCCTCCGTGCCGGGGGCGCCCGCCGCAGACACGGGACCTGCTCCGCGACTGTTGTGGCGCCAGAGCCTGAGGTAAGAGCAAACCCGCGGGGCAGGGCCGCGGCGCGGCGGAGGGCGGGCCTGCGCCGCCATGGAGGCCGCGGAGGCCGAACGCGGCCTTTTACCTTTGCCACGGGGCGGTAGCGGCGGCGGCGGCGGGCGCTTTGCATAGTGGGCCGGGCCGCGCCCTCCCCTCCCCTCTCTTCCACTTCCCTCCCCGCCCGCAGCCGAGCCCTGCGAGCCGCTGGCCTGACCGGGCCGGCCGCGCGCCGCGGGGGCGGAGGGGGGGAAATGTCCGCGGCCCCGCCTCACGCCTGGCCCTCCGCCAGCGCCGCCATCTTGTCCCCGCGGCGCCGGCCGGCCGGGTTCCCCTCGGCGCGCGCGCCTGGCCTGCCCCGCCGCCTTCTTCCTGCGCTTCCCCACTCCTCACCCCGGCGCTCCCCGCCTGCCGTTGGCTGCCACCCTGGCCCAACCGCCGTTTTTTCCCGACTGGGAGGGTGGAGTGCAAGGGAGGGAGGCGTGGGCAGGGCACGACCTCCTGAGTGACGGCCGGGCTGGCCAATCGCCCCCCGACGGGAGGGTCGCGGCCCGCGGCGCCGCCCCGGGGCTGTGCTGGTTGGTCCCGGCGGGAGAGGGAGGTCCCCGGGGGCCGCCGGTGAGGGGCGTGAGGCCGGGCGGGCCAGCCTCGCGGGGGAAGGCGGTGGGGGCTCGGGCCGGGGAGCCGATGACGCCTTTTGAACCTATGGCGCGGCCCGGAGGGAAGAGCTCGTCGGCACGCGGAGGCTCTTCGGGGTTCGCGCTGGCCTCCCGCTTCTGCACGGAGTTCCTTTCGCGGGCTCGGTTTCAGTCAGAGAAATCGGGACGCCAGGCGCTTTTGCCAAGCCGCGCCTCTCTCCTCAGCATTGTTTGAGGGCCTGTTCTCAGAAAATGGAGTCCAGGCTCCTCTTCGAGCCGCAAAGTCATTTGCAAATGGTGTTAGCTGTTTTTTCTTTTTGTTGTGGTGCTGGGGCCGGCTCTACCCTTGAGTAACATCCCTACTCTAAAATGGTGTTGTGGAAAAAATACGATATGGAACTGACCGGAGTGGAAAACTTGAGGTGATTCTCTTTCCCCTTCGTTCCTTCAACACAGATGCACTTAGTTTTTGGCGCTGGGGATCCATCCAGATTTTCAGCTGGTCACGGAGCCATTCGCTCCCAGAGGGTTGGATGCTGGCGGGGGAGGGGAGGTTGCAAAGGCTCAGAGGGTAGTCAGGAGAAACTGGGTAATGTGCTGAAGGAGCATTCGTTTAGCCTGGAGGACCGGGAAGGCGGCCTTCTCTGGGAATCGAGTTCAGGAAAAGAGCAGGGTTCCAGAGAGCGGGCTTGAACATGGGAAGGGAAGGCTTTGGACGTGAACGCCTGGCTTGGAGGGAGTGCCTCAGAAAAACCACTTTACTTCCAATGCCGTTCTTTTTACATTTTTATTTTTCCCAGAGATAAAATTGATTGATGACATGAAGTTATTGGAAACCCCATTTTAATTGTTTACCAAAGTGAAAAGCAAATTTTACAAACTATGTCAGGCTTCCATTGGAAAATTTGATAATTGATAACTAAAATATTTGTATATGATATAATAGGAAGGGCTAGCTAGCATGCAAGAAGCCTCAAATTCCATTCCTAACACTGTATAAACCTGTTGTAGTGGTGTATATCTGTAACCCCAGCATTGGGAAGGTGCAGGCAGAATCAGAAGTTCAGTGGCATCTTTGGCTACACAAAGAGTTTGAGGCCAGTCTGGGCTATATAAGATCCTATGCGCTCCCCCCAAAGTACAAATATTTGAAATAAAACAACAGTGTCTTTTTAAATAATATTAGCAGCCACAGTTTTAATTCTTTCTTTTGGATGTTTCAAGAAACTGTTTAAGTTAAGCTAAGCAAATACTACCAAAAAAAGAGATTGTGGTAGGCTGTCCCAAAGTGACTTGCAGCCCAGTTCATTCTGCATTGTGAATTTTAAGCTTTTCCTGAATATTTATTGGGTGATAGAATATTCATGGAGTAAGGTGACCTCTTTTTCCCCTCCCAAAGCATGGTGGCTTTTCCTTTTGGACTTTGTTTCCAAAAGCTGGAGATGTCAAAATTACAATGCAGTTGATACTGTAATATCAGATCTTTTGAGGATGCAGACCCTTGCTTTATGTACACGTGTGAGAAAGGTCTTAGTTTCTGATATAGCAAGAACAGCCCATTTGAAGTTTAACCACTAAGGGGCGTTTTAATAGGAGACACAGCTACCTAATATGCAGCTGCCATTTCCCCCTATTTACTTGGTATCTAACACCTTGTCAGCCTGTAGTCATACATTAAAGAAGAGACCCAGCCAGGTGTGGTGGTGTCCCAGGACTGATTCCCACACATAAAAGGCAGAGGCAGGTGTATATCTGAATTCTAGGTTAGCCTGCTCTACATAGTTCGAGGCCAGCTAGGGCTGCATAATGAGAGCTTTGCACTGAAGTTTGTGGTAGGGTCTATGTCTATAGTTTCTTCACTTTAGAAGAGTAATTCTAGGAATTTTGAGGGTTTTTTGGTTGTTTTTTTTTTTGGTTGTTTAATTCTGTTGTTTTGAGATTGTTATACCTTTCTGACAATTAGTTGGGTTTTCTTCTCTCAGCATAGCTCTGGGTACAGTCTGAGATTAGCTAGCAATCTTTATGATTCTCTATCACCAGAACTAGCTGCGTTCTGTCCACAATGCGTATTAATACAACAACAGCTGTTGGTTACTATTGGTCTTGCTAAGCTTACCTCCACAGGCCAAGAAGGCTTTCCTTAAAAGCTGTTTCTCTTTTTGGTGATTGGGATCAAACCCAAGGCCTTGCGTGTGCTAAGTAGGCTCTCTATTGCTGAACCACACCTCAAGGTCTCCCAGGTCCTAAAAGCCTGCTGTAATAATAGATTTTAGTTTTGGTGTTTTGTTGTTTCTAGATTTCAGTTATGAAGTTAGTGACTACAAGTTTTCAAACTACCACTGTTCTTTGAAGCTTGTTGGTTTTGGAAGGGAGATGTCCTCTAATTGAAAATTGGTGCTCCATATTTTGCTCCAAAGGCTCTGACCTTCCTCTCCCCATATGACTTTTGTATCTGTGGGCTGTCCTTTGGTTGTATCATGGTGAGAGAATCTTGTCCACATTATCTTTATTTCAGGAGCCCTGAGTTAAAGGCACCCCACAGTCCTGCTTTCTGACATCACTTGAGATTTTATTTTGCTTTCTTTATGCATTGTGTTATCCTACAAAAAGAAGTTTCCATTTGTTATGTTTATAACAACATTTTCTAGCATGGTTAAATCAGAACCAGTTTTGACACTCCCCTCCCCCGGTCTGTTCTAGTTGGATATAAATCTCTCAGTTGGAATTGTGGTTGTCTGCAGTTTGTCTGCTCTTACTCTCACCATCTCTGCTTGTCTTTTCAGGAGGCATACATTCCTCCTTTTTCATTTTTATTTAGCAGTTGATGGCTGAAGCTGCTTGGGAGGTAGAAAACCAACATTGAGATCAAGAATTATGGGAATTCAAGAGATGGTCCAGGAAGTGGACAAGACCTGTAAAGGTGTGACAGTGAAATGATGGTGGAAATAAATAGAAAGATAAATAGCCAGCAGTGGAATAGATAGCCTGCCATTATATCCACACTCAGAAGGAAACTTGAGTTACAGCAGGCTTGGCGTTACAGTTCAGTAATGAAAAGAATACATTGTTCAGTGCATGGTGCTGGCAAATTGATGTCTGTGCCTCACTCATCAAACTCAACCAATGGGAAGATAGATCAAGAGGTTAAAAATGTAAGTGACAGCTGGGTGTGGTGGTGTATGCCTTTAATCCCAGCACGCGGCCAGCCTGGTCTACAAAGTGAGTTCTAGCATAGCCAACAATACAGAGAAACCCTGTCTTGAAACACCAAACCAAACAAAAACAACAACAAGACAGTTGCTGTTAATATTACTTTTGGGAGGTGCAGAAATGACTCAGTGGTTAAGAATACTGTCTGCTCGTCCAGAGGACCCGCGTTCAATTCCCAGCACCCACATGGCAGCTCACACTGTCTCTAATCTAACTCTCAGTTCCAGGACTTCTGACACTGTTACACAGACATACACACAGGCAAAACACCAATGAACATAAAATAAAAATAAATTATATATTTAAAAAATAAAATTTATTTAAAAATGTGAGTAATAGCAGTCTTTAGTATTTATAATAAAAATACTTAATATGGTATTTATAGCCCTAGGGTGGGATAGAATGTCCTTAAAACATAAAAATGTAGGCTGCCAGAGTTGGCAGGCTGGTGTAGGATAGGTGCTTGCAAGCTCAGTGATCTGAGTTCAGTCTTTAGAACCCTTGTAAAGGCAGAAGGGATCAACTGCAAATTGTCCTCTAACCTCCACATGTGCACCATTACATACACATGCTCCCCTCATTGTTTGCTAATAAGTGAAAAAATTATACACATGCTCCCCTCATTGTTTGCTAATAAGTGAAAAAATTAATATAAACTGCTCAAATATTGACCCATTCAGCATTAGTATCATACCTCTGTTCATCAAGACATGTTAAAGAAAGTAAACAGAAAATGGGAGAAGATGTTTACAAATGAATACATTTACACAATCAAATAGTATCCAGAATGATTAGCTTTGTAAAGCCTACCAGGCATACTCTTTTCTGACTTAATATTTACAGATACTGGTTATTAGAATTATTTTGAGACTCGTAACTCAAAAGTTGTTTGACCCAAGAGATTTAAAGTGATTAAAGCTAGGGGTGCAGTTTGGTGATAGCATGTTTAAGGCTATAAATTTGGTCCTCAACAATATAAATCAAAAGCAAAAAGAAGCTATTACAGTAAGTTTCTGGGTTGCTAAGCATGAAATTCAGACAATTGTCTATAGGAAACCCCCATGGAAAGATGGGCCTTTTAAAGAATTTTTTGATGTTTCTATAATATTCAGTAAAAATCTCTAACAATATTTTGCATATTCAGAGTCACTTATTTTTTACTCAAAGTACAGTTAGCAGCAGAAACACTGATAATGTTTCAGAGTTATAAAATGAGTGGCTTTCTGTCTGGATTTTAGTCCTTGCTATATGTTAATCTACTGGCTATAATTTACTCTAGTTATTTTCAGTGTAAGTCTAAACTTCGCACATGTAGATGTTTCTCTAAGTTAGAACCAAATCATAGCAAGACCTAAAACAACACAAAAACCAAAGTGTTCCCCTTTGCATCTTGAGTTTTTTCCCTCTAGAAACAAAAGTTTTACCTACTTATTAAAAAAATAAACAGGGTGGTAATGTAGCTTATTGGTAGAGCATATGCTTATGTGTGATGGGCTCTAGATTTGATCCCACATACCCTGAAAGAAAACAGTAAAAAGAAGGAAGGACTAAAGAACTACTGCACAGTTCATACCTGGCCTTCTGTGAGGTGTGAATCACTGATTATCGGTGACCTGACGTTATGTTCCTGTTGATGCCATACCTGTGCTTACAGGATTATGTCTTTTATGTTGTCAGCCAGTTTCACACTTCATTCACAACTCATCGCTTAGGCAGTAAAACAATCTGAATGGGAATTATAGTAATAGAAGTGGTTACCTAGTAGTGAGTAGAAAAATACAGAGAATAACCACAGTTAAGAAGCTTGGATATCTGTGCCTTATAGTTAGGAATGCTATAGAAAGATACTTTGTGAAACTGTATTCACAGTATAATAGTCCAAGGAAGCAAATGAGCGCTGTGTACATCTGTGCATATTAAAAGCAGATATATTGTGCAGTAACACTTATGGTTTTTATGTGCAAATCTCTAACATAATTCTGCTAGAGCTTGTTTTCTTGTTCAACCTGGGACCTGCCTAGATGATAATGAATTGTCTCAAATAAACCTGGCTTCTCTGTGGTTCTGAATTTATTGAAAAGTGTGTTTAAGGGATATTCAGGGAGCTGTCTAGTTTGTGACTAGAACAGATGAAGGTTCTATTTGATCAGCAGTGACTGTGTTTAAGTGACTCTGACCTAGGAGGCTAGCAGGCTTTTTGATCTTTAGATGATCTTCCTCAAGTTTTGTGAATGATGGCATCAAATATACTTTTTCTATTAGTGGAAAATTAGGAACTTAATTATTTATAATAACTTTAAAAATATTTATTTATTTATTATGTATACAATATTCTGTCTGTGTGTACTCATTACAGATGGTTGTGAGCCACCATGTGATTGTTGGGAATTGAACTCAGGACCTTTGGAAGAACAGGCAATGCTCTTAACCACCGAGCCATCTCTCCAGCCCTCTTATAATTTATAACTCATATATATGTATGTATACATATATATATATGTAGCCAGGTGTAGTGGTGTATTCTTTTAATCCCAGCACTTGGGAGGCAGAGGCAGGTGTGGATCTCTTCGAGTTCAAGGCTAGCCTGGTCTACAGAGAGTTCCAGGCCAGCCAGAATTACACAATGAGAACCTGTTTCAAATATATATTAATAAATTGATGGGCACTTTGTTCTTGTTAACATAATCTTTGTCTCTCTTTGGTGATTATCATTTGTCTTTCAGCCTGTAAATAAAGTGTGTAAGCTGGGCATGGTTTTGCTTCTTGAATTGCCACTAAGGTTTAGTTGATAACACTCTAACGAGCTAGTACTCTATCTAAAATTGACCTCACACTTTTCTCGAATAGCCACCTTTTTACTCAGTATGCTGTGACCAAGAGCTATCCAAAAAGATACGTGTAGTACCCACCTCTGAGAGGTAAACCCAGCAGTCAAAACCAAGAAGATCTGATAGGTAAAGTCCCTCGTTTCTCCATATTTATATCTGCCAAGAGAAATTTCCTAATTGAAATGTTTTTACAAATTTTGGTACACTGATTTTATGGCATATCCGGATATGCTTACCCTGTTGGCTTTGTCTCCTGCAGAAGGCATAGTCCTTGTAAGACAGTATCAAAGATGAATTTTGATGAGTGATAAGTTTCAAGTAGCCTGGTTTTCCACACCTGATAGAAGTTGCTGCATCTTTCCAAACAGGTTCTCTAATGATCTTGCTTCACCATGGCTACAAATATGGAGGGGCTGGTTCAGCACAGAGTGGGGACCCAGCAGGTGGCTGAGGTGAGTGACAGGGGCTAGCACAATAGCTGGCACCCTTGCTTTTGAAAGGGTAGAAATCAGTGTGCTCTGTGGTTTTCAAAATAGTACCGACGAAGTCAGCATATAATTTATATCCAAAGAAGGATGCTGACACTAAATAAAAATAAAATGGCAAGAGCAGATAAGATGTTGATAAGATTTTTCTGCATGGGCAGGGTGGCTTTGTACAATAAGGCAACTTGAAAATTTACCTCAGCCCCAAGTCAACAGAATCTGGTTCTTATTATGCACTATTGTGTCTTAGTTTCTTATATACTTGTTACTGTGCAATGGTAGACCAGGTTATTTAACCAATTGCTACTGTCTGTAGTACTGAAATATGAGGGTACTCACCAGACCCAGATAAGAAGTACCAGTAAGTATAATAGTAGATGGCTCTCCAATGACCAACATTTATCAGACTTAGGTAAGTGGAGTGAGGAATTTTGTGGCAGATTCTAGGCAAGTTAACACGAGGTGAAACTTAGAGAAAAAGTTGAGGCATGATACACCTTGGTATCTGTGGGCAACAGGAGGTGTAGAAGGTGTAGTCAAAGTCAGTCCTTGAAAAGTGTCATTGCTCTATTGTCACTTATAGCATACTTGAGGATCTATGCAAGGGTAACTCTAACAATAACCTTTTGAAGTTGGTACTGTTACTATTTACATTTTATAGATGAGAAACCAAGCCTCAAAAACATGTTATTGGCCAAGAGCTTATTGTAGCAGAAGGAGACTCTGACCTAGGTCTTTGTACTTTTCTATACCTCCCTGTTTTATATTACAACCAACCATGTACCCTTTGAAAAAAAAAAACCAAAGATTTGCATTTTTGAATTACATTTCTGAAGCAAAGACAAATGTACCAAAGAATGGACATTCAAAGAAAAGACATGTTTGAATGAGTCTATGTGTGTTTTGCTTGAATGTATGTCTGTGTACCATGTGTGTACAGTACCTGCAAAGGTCAGAAGAGGGCATTGGATCCCCGGGAACTAGAGTAAAGATGGTTGTGAGCTACCATGTGGGTGTTAGGAATTGAACCCCAGTTTACTGGAAGAGCAGCCAGTGCTTTTAACCACTGAGCTATTTCTCTGGCCTCTAGAAATATATATATTTAAATGAATTATTTGTATTTTATGTTCATTGATGTTTTACCTATATGTATGTCTTCATGTGAGGGTGTCAGATCCCCTGGAACAGGAGTTACAGATAGTTGTAAGCTGCCATGTGGGTGCTGGGGATTGAACCCAGGTCCTCTGGAAGAGCAGCCAGTGCTCTCTTAACGCGAAGCCATTTCTCCAGCCCATAGAAACATATTTTAAAAGAAATAGCAGGACTGTGAACATATTGAGGCTTAAATGTTTATATTTGTTACTTTAATCTGTGATAGGAATAATTACTTTGATAATAATTGTTGCTTTTTGAATATTCAGGATCATTTTATATTTAATAAGGATTTCCTGTTGAGGCTGATTTGATATGTATGTACATTGCCCTAAAAGGCCACCATGAATTCTTTAGGGAAAGAAATTAACATTAGTATCAATTCCATGGCTATATTCGTGGATCTGTACATATATGCTAGCTAAGGTTTACTCCTAGGTACCACTCCTAGCCTCATAGTCACTCTTTGATCTGTGGAGAAAGTCTAAATCTTAACAACCTTCATTGCTCTTTTATCATCAGGGCTTTTATCTTCATTGCAGAAAACTTACTGTTTCCGTGTAAGGGAATGTTTTAAAATAGAGCTCTCCCATCTCTGAAACAGCAGTTAGTACTAGTAAGGACATATCCTAAAAGGGAAGAAAGCAGTCATCCCACCAATGTCAGATATCTTAAATCTTGGATTGTCCAGCTTTTATGAATAAATTTGATTTCTCTGCCCTCTTAGGTACTAGACATATAAGTTCTCATGTTCTTTCCAAAGAAGTACATATATATCATATGAATTTAAGCCAACATTACTATAGACTTGCAGCACCAAACATAGTAAGCTCATGAACCTCACCCTGTCCTTACCCCTAAATTTGCTATCTTTATTTACCTTCTGCTTATAAAAATGTCTTCATCCTGTTAGTTCTTAACTTAATTAAATGTAGACAATATCTTTTTCTTTAAGAACTTTTTTCTTTTTCCTTTTTTTTTTTTTTTTTTTTTTTTTTTTAGACAGGGTTTCTCTGTGGTTTTGGAGCCTGTCCTGGAACTAGCTCTTGTAGACCAGGCTGGTCTCGAACTCACAGAGATCCGCCTGCCTCTGCCTCCTAAGTGCTGGGATTAAAGGCATGTGTCACCACCGCCCGGCAAGAACTTTTTTCTTTGAGATAAAATATACAGATATTTTTTTTTAAAAACATTTACTTATTTATTATGCATACAGTGTTCTTGGTATTCTGTCAACATGTATCTCTGCAGGCCAGAATTGGGCACCAGATCTCATAACAGATGGTTGTGGGCCACCATGTGGTTGCTGGGAATTAAACTCAGGACTTCTGGAAGAGCAGCCAGTGCTCTTAACCTCTGAGTCATCTCTCCAGCCCCAAATATACAGATCTTAAGCGGCTCATTGTAACCATTTTTATTGCTGTAAAATAGACACTTAAGTTGCGAAGCAGAAGTCCAGCTCAGTGACACTAAGTATTTACTTGGTGTATATACACTACCCATTTCTAGAACTTTGTCATTATCTATTCCAAGTAGAAACTCTGTTTCTGTTAAATACTTAAACTCCCCCCTCCCCACACATTTCCCACTTACGTTCCTAATAACCACTGTTCTGTTTCTGTGAATTTGATTACTCTAGATAGCTCATATTAATAGAATTATGGAATTATCATTTTGTGTCTGACTTACTTGAGTGAGTATAGTGCCCATAAGATTTCCTTTTTAGGGCCGAATAATACAGGGTTGAAGCTGTATACCATGTTTTGTTTGTTCATCCACTGATAGACATTTGGGTTTCTTTCTTTTTCACCTCTTTACTGCTGGAGAGCGGCCTGCTTCCAGTTCTGTTTGGATAGATATCTAGGAGTGAAATTACTGGACTATGTGATGATTCTGTTCTTCAGATTTTAGAGACTACCTTTTCTGTTTTCCATGCTGAACACACCTTTTTTATTTCTAACTGGAGCATACAAGTATTACCTTCATGTCCTCCGTAGCTCTTGTTTTGACAAATGCCATTCTAATAAACAGTGATGTGGTATCTGTGATTTTCATTTGTGCTTCCCTAACAATTAGTGACATCCAGCAGCACTTCATGTGCTTATTGGTCATATATATGTTGTCTTTGAATAAATAAATACCTATTCAATCTCTTTGTTCATTAACTTTTTTGATTATTAAACTTACTGTATATTGCTTTGCAAATATGACTCCTTTTCTGTGGCTTGCTTTTTTATTCTCTCAGTAGTGTCCTTTGAAGATTTATTTTTGTGTATGGGTGTGTGCCCCCAGAGCCTCTGGAGCTAGAGCTACAAGTGGTTGTGAACCACCTGAGTAATGCTCTGTTAAACTTTGTTCATTAATTTAGTGCCCATCAACCCACCTTTTCCATTCTTTCTTTCTTTACCTATTCTCACCAAAAGTTTATTTTTGATGGATTCTAATTTTTTCATTTGATTTTTTGATTTTGGTATCATATCCAAGGCTTTATTGCAAAATCCAATGTCATGAAGGCTTTTCTATGATTTTAAGGCATGAACTTGGCAGCATTCTTTTTTGTTTTCTTTTCCCTTTTTTTTAATTGATATTTATTGAGCTCTACATTTTTCTCTGCTCCCCTCCCTGGCTCTCCCCTCCCCCCTCTTCAGCCCTCCCTCAAGGTCCCCTTGCTCCCAGTTTACTCAGGAGATCTTGTCTTTTTTCTACTTTCTACTTCCCATATAGATTAGATCTATGTAAGTCTCTCTTAGTGTCCTCATTGTTGTCTAAGTTCTCTGGGATTGTGTGTAGGCTGGCTTTCTTTTTGTATGTATTGTTCTTAACACAACTTTCTGAAAAATTGTCCTTTCCCCTATTGAATGACTTGGCATTCTTGTCAAGAAACATTTGACTGACTCTGCTGTTCAAGTCTTATTCCACAGTAACCTGAACGTGACTTGATCTTTGTACTTACATTTATTTGCATCTGTGTTGGTAAATTGGATTAACTTTGAGTTTTTCTTAAGTTTGGTATTAGTATTGCTAGCCTCATAATGAGATGAGAGAATGGTCCTTCGGTTTTTATCCTTTGATAGTTTATATGAAATTGGAATTGGCACTCCTCATAGAATTTGCCTGTAAAACTCTTGAAGTTTGGAAGGATTTTTTTAAATACCCTTTAAAAAAAAGTAATTTGCTTATTCTACTCAAGCTTTAAGATTTATCTGCGCATGTACATGATAAATAATGCTTATACCCACTATCCCACCCTCCTTATCCCTGTGCTAGATAGTTTTGATGTCAACTTGATAAAAAACAGAGTTATTTTGGAAGTGGGAACCTCGGTTGCGAAAATGCCCCTACCAGATTGGCCTGTGGTCAAGCCTGTGGCGCATTTTCTTGACGATTATGTGAAGGAACCTAAATTACTGTGGGGTACCAACCCTGGATAAGGTGATCCTGGGTGCTATAAGAAAACAGGCTGAGCAAGCCAGTAAGAAGTTCCTTCATGGCCTCTACTTTAGTTCCTGCCTTCAATTCCTACCCTGACTTCCCTCAGTGATAGGCTATTACCTGGAAGTGTAAGATAAAATAAACTCTGTCTTCCCCAGTTTGATTTTGGTCAGAGTACTTATCACAGAAATAGAAACCTTAATGAGACATTCCCCTCTTCCTCTAGAGCCACTATGTGGTCATGGTGTGACAAATCTTTTCGCACTTGGGTAACTTGTCAGTGGCTACACCACTGAAAACAGTGACTTCCACCCCTAGCACCCATCCCCTACTGGTATCTCTCTGGGAGAAGGGCCAGGGACCCATGAAACCCTCCTTACCCTTTT